TAATTGTTGTGGAATGGAACCCCTCGACCGACCGTCGTGCTTGCAACAGTCCATCTTATTTGTCCGTCGAGGGTAACAAGAAGTTGATGAAGAAAGTAGTAAAAAATTATGCCAAGTATGGAATGACGGAGCCCACGAAGTATCTTCGGGTCCATGATGGTCCTCGCAGGGATCATTGATTCAGACACGTTTTGGACAGATTTTCCTTAAATAGAGTCCTTCGTTTATTAGGTTTTATTTATTATTAATAGTTCAAAAAACTTTGTTTTTTGGGTTAGACTTTTGGATACTTTTTAGTTCTCTTGTTTAAGTATTGAACTCTTGATTTTGGTATTTGATCATATTTTTCCGGAATCAATTGTTGGTGTTTTTGTGAATTATTCAAGTGAATTTTTGGATTTTCTTCATTCTCATAATAGTAAGTACATGATTTCTTATATTATCAATATGGATTGTTTGATTAGTATCATGGGTAACTAAACTCCATAACTAGGGTTGTGGGAACCATAGGTAAATAACAAGGTAAAATCTAACTAAAATAACATTTCTAGAATAGTGTCTTGCATGTATTGATAATTCTTTCACTTAGAAGTCTTTTTAATGGGTGATCAACGTTAGAACTCTCCTGATTACTACTTGCTGAACCAAGGAGGTAGATAATACGAAAAGAATGATTAACATAGATTTAGTGCATACTATCTAATAGGCTAGTGTCGGTTGGTACGAAGTAACAACTTAGTCAAATATCGAATATGATGCTTAATATGAAGTAAAGATAATGTTTATTAAAGCAACACACGTAGCCGGACCAAGGTACGGAGTGAAATTTTCTAGATGACGAACCAAGGATTTAGAGATACCTAACTTATCACTTTACATGCAAGATACTAGGAAAGGATTGTTTTAGCTAGAATTACCGACTTAGGAGCCTGTGGGAACACTTACGCCCTAGTTACTCTCATTACTTGATTAAACTCTAATACTTGAACCTGTCGCTTGTTTATTTTAATTTAGCTAATTGCTTTTATTAATCAAAACCCCCTTTAGTTATTTGTTTTTGGGAAATAATTGACTAAATAGAAGTAGTAATAGAATAAAGTTAAGTATGAACCATTTTCCTCGTGGGAACAATCCCAACCGCACTAGTTGGGTTCCTTACTTGATGCGAACACTTTTACTTCTTTTCGAAAAGTAAATTTGAGCGTATCAAATTTTGGCGCCGCTGCCTGAGAAAGTGGCCTTTATATTAACTTTAATCTTATTACCAAAGTTTAGTCAATATTTTCCTAAATTTTACTTTTTCTGTTTGTTTTTGTTTTTTGTTGGTCTAACTTTCTTACATGCCAAACACACGGAGTAGAGGAATACCCATAATTGAACCTGACCCCGAACTAGGGCGTACTTTGAGAAGAATGAATCAGAATTTGGGCATCCAAGGTGATGAGGTCGACTTGCAAATGCCACCATTCGTTGACGCTTGTGACCCTGTATTACCTGATATTCGTGGGGAATGTAAAATACGGAGACAACCTCTCGCTCCACTCCCTCAAGAGTACTATAGGGGCTATGATCGCATACTCTGATGGACCGCTCATCTTGCCTTTCTACCACACGGCCACACTTTTGTGGTAACTAGTAGTCTGATGCAAATGCTCACTGCCAGAGGTTTGTTTTTAGTGCTACCTTCTGAGGATCCACATGCCCACATCTCTAAGGTAAGGGCAGTGTGCAAAAGTTGTGTATGGAGGCTCGATTTGAATATGGATGTAATCGGGCTAAGAATTTTTCCTCTCTCACTAACAGGAGAGGCTGCTATCTGGTTTACTTAGCTCCCCTATAACTCAATATTCACTTGAAATCAAGTGAGGGATCCTTTCTTAGCACGCTACTACCCGGTGTCTAAGAAACTAAACCACAAAGACAGAGTGAACAACTTTGTGGCACTACCGAAGAGTCAGTTAGCAGTTCTTAGGATAGGTTCACTTCATTCTTGCGAAGTGTTCCAAATCACTGCATAGATGATGAGTCTCTAAAGGAGTATTTCTATCGGGGACAAGATGATAATAACAAAGCGGTGTTGGATACAATAGCAGGTGGTTCTTATGGGGAGTGTCCTTATGCTGAAATTGCTGAAAAGTTAGAGAAAATCTCCCGAAATAATAAAGCTTAGAGTACTAGGAAGTCGAATACTGGGAGAAACACATTCGCAGTCCAATTCGCACACAACTCAGTCGCAGATGATCTTCATATGGAGATGGCTCAAATGAGAACTGAGGTTGGGTTAGTGTTGAAACATATTGCTGCGGGTGCAAAAAAAGTAAATGCTGTGAACTACTTATCTAAACCACCACCGCCAAATGATGAATATTACTATGAGGAGAACTCCTATGCAGTGATTATCAGACGGGGGGTTTCCGACCGAACACCAAGGCTCCAATCAGGAGAATTAGTTCCAAGGTCAAGGAAACCAAGGTCCGAACTATGGTAATTATAACCGAGAGGGTCATTATGTCCGAGATGGAAATTACAACCGCGACAACAATTTCAACCGGGGTAACTATGGTAACAGAAATGATAGGAGTTGGCCCTATGTTCCACCTCAAGATTGTAAAATTGTTCCGAGGGATGGTGGAGGTAGTATGACGCGAGTTGAGGATATGATGCAGAAAATGATGAGGAGGTTTGATGCTAGTGATGAGCACACTAAAGAGTTAAGCAATGACTTAGCAGGTATAAGGCAGAAAGTTGATACACATACAATCTCGATTAAGCATCTTGAGTTGCAAATGACCCAATTGTCTTCAAATGTGAACAAACGGTAATCGGGCACTCTTCATAGCAACACTGTCCAAAATCCAAAAAATGATGGGCATGAATATACTGACCATATGATATAATTCAGCTACAAATGCTCCAACGTGAAGTCCTTGAAGGACTGAGTCTATGATACCCGGAAGCGTAATAGACCAATAAGTTCCAAATATAAAATTTCTTGAAGAAGGAAGGAACAAATGATCAGTATGGTCATGATAATGATACAAGTGTTACAAAGTGCACATTCAAATAACACTTCATAAACCTTGGAAAAGGTTTAGGTACTTGAAAAATGAAGAAAAATGAAGATATCTCGATAAGTTATGTCTTGTTGGAATCGATGTCAAATAACCGTCGACGGTATCTTTAATATGAGGTAGCGCTCAATGATATAAATTGTGACGAGGATCTTGAGTTCATATATGTCATATAGTGTGGAATGAAAATGGTTGGCCAAGTAAAATGCATAATTCAGGAATATCGTCCACTTAGAAAAGTGACGTTTTGGATTGATAGTCCATAAATCAAGGTATAATGTCAATGGGGTACAATAAATTATTATGCGATGGTATAATTGTAGTATATCAAGTGTCAACTTGTGCCTTCTGGCATAAAGGTTTGTCACAAAATTACTGACATTATTGGAGATGTTTTCTCCTATGGTGGATGCAATGAGGTTTGTTTTGATCTGGCAACATATGAAAAACTTGAATGCATATTAATAATTATCATGCCTAGCTAGACAATAATGAAGGTTATATAAAAATCCTTGAAGTAATTAAGGTGTTTGAAGCATATAAGAGTTTGAAAGAAACTCTTTCAATAAAACTTCAAGAATTCTTATATGGATTGAAATAGTCAAGGAAGAAAATGGTACAAAAGAATGACTCTAATTGTTTTTGTATTTTATGAAAAGGTCTTGGTAAGACAAAATTTTATCTTGACCTACAGATTGACAATTTGACAAATGAAATATTTGTCTATCAGTGCACATACACAGACATGTTTTGATGCGTTTTTATATGAATAAATTACATTCATTGAGTATCCCAATAATTATGAGATCGCTTGACATAAATGATGATTCAATTTTATCTCAAAAGAAGGATGAAGAGCTTCTTAGTGATGAAACTCTATATCTTGGTGCAATCAGGCATTATGCATCTTACTAATAATGTTTGACAAGATTTTGTTTTGCAGTAAATTTACTGGCAAGATTCAGTTTCTCTACGATAAACGCACATTGAAATGGTGTTGAGCACATGATTGAATATCCTCGAACGACCATAGTTATGGAGTTATTCTATTCTGAGGAATACAAGACAAAATTGATTAGTTACTCAGATGCAAAATATTTTTATCTGATCCGCATAAAACTCTATCTCAAACACGTTATGTGTTTGCATGTGGAGGCACAATAATATCCTGGCGATCAATGAAGCAAATGTTGTTATGCAGAAATAAAAGCCCTCCATGAAGCAAGTCTAGAGTGCGTCTGGCTGAGATAAATGACATACCATATTCAGGAAATATGTGTTTTTTCTTTGAAAAAAGAATAATCAACCACAATGCACAAAGATTGGAGACATCATCACAAGAAATTAAGTGATTTCTAAATCAGGGGTGTATAATATGTGTCGCACTTTTTTTTCCTTGACGGAGGTTTTTTCCTACTAGATTTTTCTGGTAAGATTTTTAATGAGACAACAATTAGTATGTATCAAAAGATATCTATACTCTTTTTCCTTCACTAAAATTTTTTCCCACAGGGTTTCTCCTAGTAAGGTTTTAACGAGATACATTATCTATGAACATCCAAGGGGAGTGTTATAAATAAATTGAATTAAGTGGATTGTCCATGAATCTTATCATAAACCTATCCTTATCATGGATATGTACTACTTCCAAGGTGATATAAATCTTTTGAGATAGAAATGTATCTATTAATGTGGCATTAAACATGTGACCTTTTGGTTGATTTCTTACCTATAAATAGAAATATCATTCATCATATACACGGGAATAAGAAGAAAATCCTCAATCTTCTTTGAATTTGAATTTTTAGAAAACTCTTTTATATTTACATAATATCAAAGATCTACCCAGTTTTTAAAATAAACCTGGATTATGAAAATTTTGACCATTTGATTTTCAAAAACATAAGATATCCATGGACCATAACCTAAAAATATTTGATATCCATGAGACCGTAACCAAAAGTTAGGTGCAATTTGGTAGCGCGTAATTTGCTCGAAGTTCTTTTTTTTTTCACTGCCGTTACACCTTCCCCTTCCTCTGGCCCGGCTGATCTTCGAGCGATCGTCCTTCCGATCTGGCCGTAATCCTTGAGTCGCCGGAGCGATAACTGACCTCAAATGTCGACGGCTCTGTTCATTAACAAACTTCCTTTCCTTTCCATCATCGTTCTATTGATCAATTACGTCGTCGTTTCCTGTTTGCGGATTTCAGATGTTTCAAATGAAAGCTTCGTTTTTCTCTCCTCATCGAATGGCAATGGCGAAGGGAATCACAGAAACAACCACACTACAATGTTTCTCCCTCTCTTTCCTCCTAAAGAAATCTCTCCACCACGCGATGAACTCTCCCGTCGACACCTCCAGAAAAGCCCTTCAAGTGCTCGTATGCCTCTCCACGACGATCTCCTCCTTAACGGGTCAGAACTTGTATACAATTGCTTATAATGAATGTGTATCTCTAGTCTCTACTCTTTCCATTCTGGCTAACTTGAGAGGATGCAGATATTATACGACTCGCCTTTGGATTGGAACTCCTCCTCAGAGGTTTGCCCTTATAGTAGATACTGGGAGTACTGTTACCTATGTTCCTTGCTCTACTTGTGAACAGTGTGGCAACCATCAGGTTAGCTCATTACTGAATTTTCTCATTTCCACACACGTAAATTAAGCAAAACAAAACAAAGAAGAAGCATATTGTAAGATCATGGTACCATTTTATGTAAAATGGATGCTTGTAACTATTTTAAATGAACGTGAAAGAATTTATATGTACTATTTTATGTCTTATTATTTGTTTTGCACATTATACAAAGAGATAAACTATACTCTGTTAATTGAAATTTATGTTTTCATTAGCATTACTGTTCAATTTTTACCATCCTGATTCAGAAGACTGGATGTCGAATGTTAATGACAATTTAATACTGTATCACTGAAATCTGTACAAGTTTTAGTAAAAGAAAAAGCACGAATATATCTACAAACCTTACAGCATATGGCTAATTCTTTAAATGCAAATTACTTGCCGTAAAAGAAACTATATTTGTACTAAAATTTACAGACAAATGTTTGATTGGAATAAATATATTTAAGCTCGCATAACTTAGATTCATAGTTGCTTGCATTATTTAAACAACAACTTACCCAATATATGCACAAAGTGGGGTCAAGGAAAGGGTAGAGTGTATGCAGGCCTTACCCTTACCTAAGAGGTAGAGACTGGCTGTTTTCGATAAACTTTCGGCTCAAGAAAAACAATCCATAAAAAGAGATAATGAAAGTACAAGAAACAACACAGTAATAAAACAATAGGTAGTAATAAAACAATAGGTAGTAACAAAACAATACTACAACAAAACTATACATATTCGAAGTACAAGAAACAACAAATAGTAACAATATTTAAAGGTTATGAAACGACTAGAGTAATACTACGACTATTAGTACAAACGAATAGAAAGACAATGCTCTCTTACCTATTAACCTTCTACCCTAATTCTTATCCTCCACAACCTTTTATCTAAAGGTTATGGCCTCGATAAGCTAAAACTGTATCATGTCTTGTCTAATCACCTCTCCTCAATACTTTTTTTTCTACATTTACTTCTCTTGAAGTCATCCATAGTCAACCTCTTACACCTCTGCATAGGGGCATTGGTGCATAGGGCATTGGTGCATTTTTTCATCAATGCCTGAACCATCTCATCTCACTTCCCGCATCTTGTCTCCTACCGAGCCACCTTCACCTTTTCTTGGATATTCTCATTTCAAATCCTATCTCTCCTAGCATGCCCACACATCCATCACAGTGGCTCGAACTCACACTAAATGCAAATTATGAACATGGATGCCTACTGCACTATATGGCAAAATCTGAACAAAGTTATGAGGGAGATCCCATTTTAATTGCTAGGAGAACGGGTTCACGTGCCCCACATTTCTTCAGGTGAATCTGCCCCTGAGAAGAAGAAAACAATCTTAAAGTAAGTTCACCGCCATTTGGTGCACCATTTGGTTAGAAAGGGAAGTTTAAAATATTTTACGGCAAAAAAGAAAATGTAACCAGCCTTAAATGTAGGTCTATCTCTGCTATTTTCTTGTTGTAGACAGTCTATTGTAAATGATTAAAATGCTCCGCCAGACACTCTTAGCCTCCTACACAGCCTGTAGACCTTATAGCACGTTCGTAGTGCTTTTGCTCATCATAATACCTTTCCATAATAATAATAATATATTTTTCTAGGCTTCTCCTTGTCACGGGAATATGTTCCTATATCATAAAGAGTTATTTCTTTTGTGATAGTAGTATCATGTTCCTTGGGTATTTTTTCTTGTTATTGTGAAATGTACAGTAACTGGTGCTTGCTCTTAAGTATATAGCCATTTGGCACTTGTTACAGTGGTTTTTTTGGTTGAGAAAATCTTGACCTTTTAGCCAATATGTTGCCTCTATCTTGTTGATACATGCTTAATTTACCATAGATTGGATCATATATTCTTTCCCTTTTTTGATCAGTGGCACTTCTTTCATTGTTGTTCTTTGAATTAGGATCCTAAGTTTCAGCCAGAAATGTCAAGTACCTATCAACCTGTGAAGTGCAATGTTGATTGTACTTGCGACAATGAGAGAGAGCAATGTATTTATGAAAGGCAATATGCTGAGATGAGCTCTAGTAGTGGAGTGCTTGGAGAGGACATTGTGTCCTTTGGGAACCAAAGTGAGTTGGCACCCCAGCGAGCTGTTTTTGGATGTGAAAATCTAGAAACTGGTGATCTTTACAGCCAACATGCTGATGGTATAATGGGCTTAGGTCGAGGGGATCTAAGTATAGTGGATCAACTCGTTGAGAAACATGTGATTAGTGATTCCTTCTCCTTGTGTTATGGCGGAATGGATTTCGGTGGTGGTGCAATGGTTCTTGGAGGAATAAACCCTCCTTCTGAGATGGTTTTTACCCATTCAGATCCTCTACGCAGGTATGCATTTTATATAATTGTCTTAAGACAGGAATTTAGATGTTATAACAAATACACTCTATAAATCTTATGCATTTACTCTAGTCTCGGATGGCAACAGTCCATATTACAATATTGAGCTGAAGGGGATACATGTCGCTGGGAAGGCACTGAATCTTAATCCACAGATTTTCGATGGAAAACATGGGACTGTGCTTGATAGTGGTACCACATACGTTTACCTTCCAGAAGCTGCATTTGTGGCCTTCAAGAGTGCTGTATGTTATCTAAATTACATGCTATTACATCTATCATTTTCATGATGCACTCTGCCAGAGACAAGTAGTGGTGAAATATTGCATGCTTGTGGCTAGAAGAATGGGGTGAAGAAATCAAATCTGTGAAAGCTGAGTTTCATTTGTATGACGTGTTTATGCTTAATGCCTTTTTGATTACTGATGTCCTTTTTTGTGTCTACTTTTCTTGCGTACAAGTTACACCATGATTGGTAGAACAAACAATTGCGTAATATACTGAACAGGGTTAGCATAGTTAGTGTATATCTGTCAATATGTGGGATTCAAACTAAAGCCTCATAGTTAAACAAGTATTAGGCTAATGCTTCAATGCTTACGACTTAACTTTGAAGGGAAAAAAAAATAAAGCATCCAGGAGTTTTTTGATCCTAAAATGCAGAACACTCGTTTATCCAATTAATTTTTCTTCCAGTGCAGCATCGTTTGGGTCTTAGTTTATGTTGTAACTACTTATTGTAGTTGTTTTCCCCCGGAACTTGCAACTTTTTCTTCCAATCAGCTCACTAGAAAGAACTTTTGAAAACATTCTTTTAATATATATTTGAAAGTTCCTCAAAATCGTTGATTATTTTAGTTCCTCGTCATTCTTATTCGATTTGTTACTTCATGTAAATGTAAAAAATGGAGTTACGGGCTCCTACAATGTACTACTAATGGGTGGTGGATGCATTGTCGAGCTTTATAGTTAAGACAATTTATTTTCTTTCTAAATTGAAGTTCTGAAAATATTATTTTAGGTCATGAAAGAACTTCATTCCTTAAGAGAGATCGAAGGGCCTGACCCGAACTATAGAGATATATGCTTTTCTGGTGCTGAAAGGTATATAGAAATTTTATATCATTATTCTTACTTTTATTTTATTTTTGGTGTCACAAGTTGAACTAAGTGTCTTGTATATTTCAGTGACGTGTCACAACTTTCAAAATCATTTCCCTCTGTTGACATGGTGTTCAGCAATGGAAAGAAACTATCTCTCACACCTGAAAACTACTTATTCAGGGTAGGCATCTTATTCACATAATCTTGCCTGTACTATCTGTATCTACTTTTGGCTTAATCTCCCCTAGCCACTCCATTTTTTTGATAAGTGGCTGTAACTCCATTTTCGTTGTGTGATTCTACATTGACTAACTTTTCCCCTTTTCTCAATTGTATTGCAAATGCTATAACTTCATGATTGTAGCACTCAAAGGTGCGTGGGGCATACTGCTTTGGAATTTTCCAGAATGGGAAGGACCCAACTACTCTTCTTGGAGGTATGTATATCCCTTTATTTTTATTAAGGATATATATCTTTTAGCATCTTGGAGAAGTTCTTCTGCCAAAATCTTTTTTATATAATCTTTAAGACTTTAACATGTGTGCTTTTTGCTTGTATTGCACCAGGAATTATTGTCCGCAACACTCTTGTAAGCTACGATCGTGAAAATGAAAGGATTGGTTTTTGGAAAACTAATTGTTCTAAGTTATGGGACACACTTAATGTATCTTCATCACCTCCACCTCCATCACCGCCCTCGGGCATGGACAACACAAACTCCACTGCACATATGACTCCAGCACTGGCACCTAGTGTACCTTCGGAAAATTATGCTCCTGGTAAGAAACTCTTCTCCAGACTAATATCTTTTGTCAGTGTTATTATGCTTTTCTGTCATGCTTTTATCCAGTTTAGTAGTGGGTCAGGCTTTATTTAAGTAATTCCACTAGGGCGATTCATATCTTTTTCCCCTAACTTTTCAATGCAATAGGGTTTCTGATTATTATTTTAACAGTGAAAATGGAGAAACAAACTTAGAATTGTACCATGTTGGTGTTTTTCTGTCACCTAAGATTAGGTCATCTATCAAGATTTCATATGCTCCCTTCGGTTCCTGTATTTTACAAATGTCAGCTTTCAGAATGACATTTGAGCATGAGTTTCTGTATTGTTTTATTATTGTCTTATATTCATCTATTTCCTTAGTGCTCTGAACTTCCTGGGAGGTAACTTCTAGAATAGAAGTGTCTTAACCTTTTTGGACCCAACTAAACATTCTTAATTGACGGAAATTACAGTTTCATGTAGTACAACAGTTACTGCAAGATAACATGTGTTGCATTATACAACCATCTTTAATATCCTCTCTATTGATAATTCCTTGTTATTTGTCAAGAGCTTTCACTTTGTTCATTTACTGATTTGGTGTAGACAGCAAATTCTTTGTTGCAAAGATGGTTAGATTTTTGGGCGGCGTCACCATACTGCAACAATTTCGTCAGTCAACACCATTTAGGTGTATCAAATGCAAAAATTGACTTATCACAGAAAAGGGAAAGAATGGTGATTGTAAGTGTTGCGATCGAGGGTGATAATTATGTTTTGTCCCGAGCCAAATGACTGTTATAACTTTGACAAATGACATGCATGAGAGTTTGCTGTCTTAAGACCTTAAGGGGTCGTTTGGTTGGAAACAAGTTATCCCAGGATAAGTTATGCTGGGGTTAACTATCCTGGGATAACTTATCCCACACTATGATATAAATGGTGGGATAAGTTATCCCAAACATGATTAAAAAAATTTCATCCCATCACTATTATTTTTAATCCCTCACACCAAACGAGCTCTAACGGTTGAAATTAAGAACTTTTGTACTTGTTTGGTGCAAAATTTCCTCCTGCATAGCTGAAGCATTTAGGAAATTAAATTTTTATTGATATGATGGAGGCTATCATCTGGTGTCTTATGTGATAAGTGGATGCCTCTAAAAATAAAGGTAGGTTCCACAGAGTACTGGTTTCCGACTTTGTTATATGGGGCAGAGTGTTGCCAGTCAAAAACTCTCGCGTCCAGAAGATGAAAGTTGTGGAAATGAGGATGTTGACATGGATGTGTGGGTTTACTACGAGAGATATGGTCAGAAATGAAGATATTAGGAGAAAGGTGGAAGTAGCCTCTGTAGAGGAAAAGATTGCAGCAGGCGAGACTCAGATGATTTCTATATTTCAAGAGGAGATTCACATACGCCCTAGTGTGCAGGTGTGAGAGGTTGACACTGGAGGACCTGAGGAGAGCTGGAGATAGACTAAAGAAGTATTGGGGAGAAGTTATCCAGAAGGACATGTAAAGCCTTAGCTTACCGAGAACCAGTGTTTTTATATTCATGAGGCGATAAGGGTCTGCCTCTCTAAGGCGAGTGGCGAGGCGCTCGTCTTTTTGAAGTGAGGCGCCAAGTAATACCAAACATAAAATATTTAATTGCATATATAAATAAGTATAACCAAAATCTCAATAGCAACAACATATTAGCAAATATTTCAATTCAAAAACTAAATATAGATAGTAGATGCAAAAGTTTTGAACCTGAATGACTCAATAGTCAATAAGATAAGCGATAGTATAAGTCTAATCTTCTTTAAGATTTTCGAATCTTTAAGTCCAAGATTCTCTGCATTATATTGTTTCTCATCTTCGTCCTCTATACTATAATTCAAACCTATGTCTTTCTTTTTGTTCACTCCTTTTTTCTACCATCAGCTAATGGCATTGAATATTACTATTTGTAGGCAAAAAAATTAAATGTATTAATTATTATACACCTAAACTGAATTGGGCTGAAGATTAAAATGAATGGACTGAACAATGAAAGAAAAAGAACTGAGCAGAAACTAGAAAACAGAGGAAGAATTTGTGCAAGAAGAAGAAAGAAAAAGAAAGAATCTGGAAATAGAGAAGAAGAAGAAGAAGAAGAAGAAGAAGAAGAAGAAGAAGAAGAAGAAGAAGAAAAAGAAGAAGAATCTGCGGGAAACAGTGGAGAAAGAAGAAGAAAAAGACGTTCTCCACTCATTGATGTTCACTTCGAAAACTATCTTTTAAACTGAGGAGGTGTGAGACAGATAGGAGAAAAATATTATTTAATTGTTGTATCTACATTATTACATGAAGACCCTATTTATAGACACTACCATAGAATCCTTGACCATGTGGAAAAATATATATTATTCTTTTTCCTATTACTATTCTTATTCCTATTACTGTTCTAACTTCCAAGTAGGACTGTATATACCGGTTTCAATTCTTAACACTCCTCAAACTGATGCATACAAGTCATATGACCTGACTTATTATAGATGTAATTAATATGAGGACCGATGAAGGGCTTGGTGGAGATACTTGCAAGTTGATCACTTGGCTTCACAAAATTGTAGTCAATCTTAATGTGCTTAGTCTTCTCATGAAATAGTAGATTTGACTTAGAATGTTGATAAAACACAGAGTGGTCAGCCCTACTATGAGTCATGCCAAATTCTTGAACTACTGCGCTTAACTTCCCAACCAAGCTTGAAAATATTGTTTTACACTATAGAGTGCTACCATACTACCTGTGAGCAACAAACCAAGTAGTTGCTCCATATAGACTTCTTCCTCTAGATCACCCTTTTTATTTTTTTTTTAATATGGGTAGGGTCAGAATGATGGCATGACCCTACTGGGTAAAGAATTATATAGGTAAGGTCAGAATGATGACACAACCCTATTGAGAAAGAAAATTATATGGATAGGGTCGGATTGATGGCATGACCCTAGTGAAAAGGACAAATTAAATGGGTAGGGTCGGATGATGGCACAATTCTATGCAAATAAGATTTGAGGAGTCACCGAAAAGACGAATGGAACTATGCAAATCAAATATGAGGAGTCACTGAAAATGCACATGGTGCTATGTAACTTATATGTGAGAAAGCAGTTCAGGAAAATTCACGGCTCTACGCAAATTAAATATGAAAAGTAGTCAGAGAGATGTTCGATGCTATGCAAATCAGATATGGAGAAATAGTCACCGTTAAGATGGCATGGTGCTGCGCCAATTAAATATGAAAAAGTAGTCACCGAAAAAGATGGCACAATGCTACGCGAATCAAATATAAAAAAAGTAATAACGAGAAAGATGACACAATGCTACACAAATTAAACATGAAAATGAAAAAGTAGTCACTGAAAAGATGACATGGTGTTACACAAATTAAATATGAAAAAGTAGTCACCAGAAAGATGGCATGGTGCTACACAAATTAAATATGAAAAAAAGTAGTAACCGGAAAGATGGCATGGTGCTACACAAATGCTGATAGATATAGGGTTGACACAAAACATTCCTTGAAGTTGCCCAAAATTGATAATAATGACCGGTCTGTCTATATTTTCTTTTCCTGAATATGGGGTTCATGCATTTGTATGTCATTGGCCCCACTTTTGTTAACATAATCATTGGCTAGATGAGCGGCATATACGAGTAATGGACAACCGCCGGCAACAGAAGCTCTTTGATTCTCTTCCAAGATTGTAGAGGTGCTGATACCATGTGAAGATGGATGTTGGGCCTAACTCAATCCCAAAAGCTAGCTTATGTGGGGAGGATTGTCCAAGTTTCCATATAAGGAGACCAAATTCTCATCCTTTTCGGACGTGGGAATTCTTAACAAGGGCCATCTTCTCATATCTGATAAAGTAGGTCTTTCAGATGTTGGCTTTCCAAATGAACCAAAAATACACCTTCCCAATAGACCTCGTCCTAGTTTCTACTAGAACAACAGAGGGTTTTCCTATAAAGTTATTACTAATAGGGACTTCACATCATGTCCTGGTTGCTATATACTATCCTCTACCACATTTACAAAAGGTTAATAATGTCAACAATTCTGTGTGTAGCCATTATGGCGAGCTTAGGAAACTATTTAATGAAAGTTTTGATTTTAAAAGCTTTGTTTCTGCACCCTGCATTAATGGATCCCTCAGGAAGAATAATGACTAATATAATCTCTCTCCAATGATAAGATACTCATGTATCTTCCATGTGTATTGTACTTCCTGGTACCAAAATAGTCTGCAGCCAGAACCTTGTTCATCCATCTTCTCACCAGATTCTTTGGTCATTTGAGGTTTATTTAAGGACAACATATCCACTCCATGATCTTCTTGTTGAATGTTAATCTTCTCATCATGTTCCAGCTTCTTTCAACTCAAACCAGTCAACATTGCCTGAGGTCCATCTGGTGATGTCATAGGACTTAAAACCTGTACTAAAATGTATTCTGTTTTCCCCCATGATAGCATAAAACAAGGCTATGGGAATGGAAAAGAAAAAACAAAACAGTAACACTGTGGGCGAGAATTGAGTGTTTGAGGGAAGAGGGTCAAATTCCAGTAAAGGCACCGGAAAAGGGAAATTCTTCTATCCTAGGAAGTAGGAAAGAGTGTCTTGGGATTCGTGCCCGGGAGCATTTTTAAACAGATAATAATATTCCAAAACTCATGACCACCCCTCAAGCATAGTGCTGTCTAAAGTGAAAAGCATTGACACCAAGTCCTGTTGGAGCTTTAAGTGCAAAATGCAAATTAACGTGAACTTTTGTTAAAGAAGGCGTAGGTATAGACGTATAAACATAACATAAGAAAAATAACCATAAAACACAAAAATAACAATTATGGGACAAAATGCAATTTAATGAAATAGCCTAGAGACAATATTTGGTTGAAGTTGAAAAGTATCCTCCAAAGTTGAAGATATGTATGTATGTGAATTTCACATTTGAACTTTTTAGTGAAAACCATTTATTTCACTAGAAATACTCAGGCCGCTAGAGAAAGGGTTCCATTTTCAAGTCTATTTCTGATTCTTTCAACCTCTGTTTTTCCGCCGGACCACAATCTTGACCTCCAATCGAGCTACGAACACTAGTAGAAAGGCGGGGAGTGAGTTTTCTTGCCTGCCCTCCATGACAAAAGTGAGTGGTTGGAAAGGGTTCTCCTTCCCCTCCTAGTAGTTCTAGATCGAGAGATTCAAGGTGTCTTTCCTTCGCTCTATTCTGAAGTCCTGGCTAAGCTGAGGTTCGAAGTCGGTGTTTCTTCCTATTCCAGAAATAGACTGATTCTACATCACCTTTCAATTCGGATTAGCCAAATTAGGCAATAGGCTTCGTGTTTACAACTGTCTTCCAAACCGTTGAAAGATAAAAAATTAATCTGAATTTTCTATTTTAAGTTGAGGTTGAAATGATAGACTAAATAGTTAAACAAATACTGATTTTCAAATAATATTTGGTTTGAAATTATGTCCACATGCCTACGGAGTGTCAATCAAGTTCAAATCACATTATATTTCTTGATATAGAAACAGATTTTTGAATTAGGATCAATGATTAGCTTTCTTATGCTAAATATTTTAATTTCCTATTTCTAATAACTAACACTTATCCATAAAATATTGTTTTCTTAACAATTGCTACATTCTATGCCAACTATATTTATTGTTTAGTGCTACCCCATTAACACTGCCTTGCTTTTGAGGTTCAAGCTTGTTGATGTCTGTCGTTGTAATAGTCATATTCTTGTTAGTTTTACTTTTTGATATCTATCTTCATTTGTTTATTGGTTTTCGGCTACTGCACAATTCTGTTGTTGTTCATATTCTTTTGTTGTAGGCTTTCATAGGTTCTGCTATTAGTTGTAATGTTTTCTTCTTCTTTATACCTGAAATTGTTACACTTGACCCGGGTCTTCTAGAAACAGCCTCTCTATCTCCACGAGGTAGTGGTAAGGCCTACACTAGACCCTCACCAGACCCCACTTGTAGGATTTCACTTGGTATGTTGGTTGTGGTTGTTGCTACCCCATTGACAGCAGAGTGCATATGTGAGGCACACATTTGGTTCTTGGACTAAAGCCCAACTTTGAAGTTTGAGTATGCTTCAAGTGAGCCTTCAGTAGCCATTGTTCCATCAGAAGAAAATACTCTTTTAGCCACTTGTTCCACCTTCAGGGACCCTCCCTGGCTTCTCCGAGAAGAAACATTTTGACGCATGCTGTGACCCTCCATTTTTTCTCTCGCGATATTGCTACTATTTTTGTTGTTGCAACTGATTGGTCAAATCTACAAGACCAATCATATGAGCCCTCATATTAAATTCTCTCTACTTCTTTGCCAGAAACAGAGAACGTGTCCTCATTTTGATCATCTTGGCATATCCCTCTTATAATTTGACTCCTTCCCATAAATTGGAAACAGTTTAGTAGAAGCATAGCAAGTTGACGTGTACTGGCACTTTTTCCCATCAAATTACACCTTTTCCCTCATATTTAGGTAGGTCCTTTGAAAGATTCAGTGAGTACTAAACCAAGTTATTTCCGGTGCAGATACTTCTTATTGTTATCACCTTTGTCTTTTATCTCACTTGGCAGGGGAAATCAAAATTGGGCTAATATCATTTGATATGTCACTGAGCATTGATTATTCGGAATTGAAGCCTCGTGTTCCAGAACTTGCCCATTTTATTGCACAAGAGTTGGATGTTTACGTTTCACAGGTAGATTTTTTTAATAATGACAATTTTGCATAACCCAAATTACTTTTGTGACTTCTTTTATTTTTTTGCACGGCTCAGAGCTGTCCGAGGCTGATGTCATCTAAAACTGAACATCCCCTCTTTTTTAAGTTGCTGAACTGAACAAGTGTGTTAATTTTGTTCAATGTGATGATGTCACTTATTAACTTTGCAGGTTCACTTGATGAATTTTTCAACTAAAGGAAATGATACCCTCATTAGATGGGCCATCTTTCCTGCAGGATCTGCTGATTACATGTCACATACCACTGCAATGGTAACTTTTAACTTAAGAATGTGTAAGGACTATATTTTGAATCAAAGACCTTTTGCTTAATGCATATCTATTCGCAGGAAATAACAAGCCGATTAGCTGGTGATCGTCTTCATCTTCCAGATACATTTGGAAGCTACAAATTAGTCAAATGGGACATTGAACCCTTATCGAAAAGGTATAAGCAAAACATGTTTTTTGCATCTTCATAACTATTGCATAACTATGCTGTATATATTGTTAACATCATTTCGGTGCATCATTGATGAAATTATCCCAATTCATCAAAGAATATGCCTTCTGAATCACAAGGCAAAACAAATCACCACCGCAGTGGAGTTCTGATGCGAAATACTTGCTTGTGTTTCTGATATACACAACTCAAAAAGTTTCATCTTTTTATCTAGCCAAAAAATACATGTATATATTAAGTTTATGAAATTGTGGAACATGAGTTATTCTGCATTGGATGGCATGGGTCAACTGCTTTCAACGTTAATGATAGGTAGGTAATGATTTTTCTTCAATCATATAACTTGTGTTTGGGGTGTGACTAATGGATTTTAGGGAATCGTCAAAACATACTCCGTTTTTTAATTACACCAGTAGTAAACATCACTCAAGACAGGTTATGTGCTTGTTTAATGTACATCCATGTTCTTTGGAGATCCTCTTATACATATTATTGTTATGGGTTCTGTTCTTTAATGGGCTATCTTTTTTATTGTCTGGAGTGTAAAAAGGTATGTTCTAAAGTGTGCATTGTGAACATCTGATATTAATGATGGGTTCATATGATACAAAAGTTGTTGATTTGATATGGTTGTATTGCAATAATTTAGGACGCGATGGCAGCAAAGTTACCTGGCTGTGGTGTTAGCACTTTTAGTTATCTTGGTACTAGGATTATCAGCTTCCCTGGGATGGTTTATTTGGAGACGAAGACAAACTCCTACCCCATATGATCCTCTTGGAAGCGTTGAAACTATGACAGATGAAAAAGAGCTCCAGCCGCTAAATTGAAAGATACTATATTACCTATACTTAGTATACATACATGCAAAGACACTCCTGACGTCCAACTGCTTATTTTTTTTCTTCAAATCCCAGTACAGATAACAAAAATTTTGTAGATTGAAGAGAGAAGACTCAAAGAACTGCTCCATAATGTCACATTCATGTGTGAGTACTGTAAGATATCATTTATTGACAAGATGTTTATTTTCTCTCTCCCCAAATGCTAGTAATGAAGAGGAAAATATCATACATAATTACAAGAAATCCATATGAATAGTCTGCTTCAGCATGTAATTATGTCTTGTATTTAAATTCTGGAGAATGCCCTCTACATGGTTACTATTTTGCAACTATAGATTCATGAAGTAATCTTGTTGATATAGCAGCTTTGCAAAATGGCTATAGTTACAGAACAGTAATCATGTACAGGACTAATGTTTTGACGGAGTGGCCTAAGTGTCAATCTCAGCAGCATTACACCCAATTTCGTATTTCTAAAATTGCTATAAAATACTATAGTTAATTCATTGGAGTAAACTAGTAGTGTTACAGATTTTAGTTAAAAATTCTGAACGGATAACGTCAAACACATTTTTAGAAAATAATATGGAAATAGTAATTTCTTCACACTGTACAGATAATCAAATGACAGTTTTTGGCATCATGACATAATGCTGACTAAATCTGACCTGGCACATCTTAATCATCAGCATTTCTATTTGTATTCATCATTATAAAGATTGTGAGATGCTTTCTTTTTTATTTTGTTGAAAAAATCACATGGACTAAAAATTCGTTGCACATTTCAATATCAAAAATTTATACTCATATTCATCATCATTAGAAAAAAAGAGAAAGGGTGAAGGATTTCACTATTGTTGATTACTATATTCAAAACTTTTTATTGATAAGCTAAATACCTATAAAAATCACATGGACTAAAAATTCGTTGCACATTTCAATATCAAAAATTTATACTCATATTCATCATCATTAGAAAAAAAGAGAAAGGGTAAAGGATTTCACTATTGTTGATTACTATACTCAAAACTAAAGATATTAGTGATGATGAAACTTTTAAATATATTGGTAATGATGAATATACAGATATCAAATTTCATCATTGAGATATATAGCGAAATTTTAGTCCTTGTGATTTTTTCAAAAAAAAACGAAAGAAATGATATCTCAATAATCTTCTAAAGATATTCATATAAAGAGAGATTATATAAAAAAAAATTATCTTCAAAGTAGAAGCTTTTTGAAAGAATGTTTATTCCTACTATTGAGAGAGAAAAAAACTCATATGGATTGAAAAGTTTATACGAAGAGTGATTAGAATTTCAAAGGATAAGAAGATTTATTTAGAGAAAAAATCAATTTATTTAGAAAATTTGTATCAAATTAGGAGAGAGAATAAGTATTTCACTTGCTTTGTTCTTTTATTTTGTCTTAATTTCTTTTTATATATCTTTAATTAATTTTTTTTTACTTATTTATATATACTTAATATTTATTCCTAATAAGTATTTCACTTCCTTTGTTCTTTTATTTTGTCTTAATTTCTTTTTATATATCTTTAATTAGTATTTTTTACTTATTTATATATACTTAATATTTACTAACACATTACTTCTTCTTTTATATTTTTGTGTCTTTAATTAAGGTTTTTTTCAAAAATTTTTAATTAAAGCTTTTTATGTATATTTTTTAATTTCTAATGCCTGAAATTCTATTTATTTTTTGGTGTTCTGTTTTTCCACTGTCCAAATTTTCTTTAAAATATGATCATATTTAATCTCTTTTATCTTTAAGGTTATTAATATCTTTTACTTTTTCCTTTAATCTTTTAATTAATGTTGATTATTAATTTCCTATAATCGCTTCTTTTTTAGAAAAAAATTACTCCAAGAAATTAAGGGAAAATTTCTTGATGAAAGAATTTGTTGATCTTAGACCCGAAACTTTTTTTTACCTATTAACAAATAATACCAAAAAAATTAAAGGGAAAATGCATAAATACCCCCAATCAATACGTGAAATCCCAGAGACAAACTTACACTATACTAAGGTCCTATTCCCCCTGAACTATTTTATAAATAATTTTTTACGCCTTTTCGTCCTACGTGACACTAGCTTGAAAAAAATGTCAACTCGCGTTGGGCCCACAAATGAGTAGAAATTTTTTTATAAAATAAGTTCAGGGGGTAATAAGACTTTGTATAGTATAAGTGTGTCTCTGAAATTTCGAATATAGATAGGTGATACTTGTGCATTTTTTCTATTATTAAACTAGTTACGAAAATCCGATGTTATGCATACACTCCATATTTGTTCACAAATTTGTTTTTAATTGTATTAAATAAATGTTATGAAATCATCTCATTACGTGTAAAATAAATATTTGATATATATATTATTAATTTTTATAAATTTTTAAGTGGTATTGATTAAATGGTTTTAAATTTTACTCTGAAAGCATTTATGATGAATATTGGTATGATAGTAAATCGTCTCATTTTTTGTGTGTAGAGATCTATAATTAAAATATTTTTCATTATTGATCGTTAATTATTACAGATATCCAAAATAATAAATCTATAACTAAGATAAGTGAAGTGGATACCATAATTTTGAAGAAATTGTATACTAATTAAATTAAAGTTGAACAAAGAAAAAATATTTAAATAATTTTTTTAAAAATGCACGAAATAAATACATCAACAAAGACATATCTGCTTTAACTTAAAATTCTCTCTTATATAATAAGTGAATTATAAAGTTTTATCTAAAGCACACACAAATAAAGAATCAAAATAACAAATAAAGATTTGAATTTTCTCATATTACTATCTCTAATCACCAATTAGAAAAATACGTGTAGAGCACATGTGTTTCTTCATATCATCCTATGAAACACATAGGGCATAGGGATTTACAACCAATTTGAGTCAGTTATTGATCAAAAGTTAAAATTAAAATCAAATCACTCTGATTGATTTCTAAATTATTAAAATCAAATAAGATAAAATATAATATACATTATTGATTTAATTGTTTGATTTCGGTTCAATTATAAGTCGTACAGAAAAATAAAAGAAACAATTCATTTGAAAAGAAAATAATAGCATTTGATTCAAAGCGAAAAATAGTTAGAACGGTTGACACTATAAAAATTTTGGTCACTGCATTTACTGTGAGCAAAGCCTCAAAATCCACCACTTCGACCAAAAAAAAGAAGAAACAATAACATTCATAGTCCCACCAAAAATTGTCATACACACTCATATACATGAAACTAATAAGATAAATGTTTTGTCTTGAATTTTTGTTACTTTCATAAATAAATTATGACTAAATTTAATGAAAACATATATAATGTTATAAAATAAAGACAAAATACTAAAGTAGAATGAAAAGGAAAGGAAGTCATGATGAAGTCAATTGGTCTACGTCTTTCCTCATCTTAGCAATAGCGGCATTTAGAGTCGTAACCTCCTTAGTGGCCCCTTGACCTCGCTCAGACACCACTATCTTTACTGCAAGGGCATCAATGGACACACTAAGAGGTGTTATAGCAGCCGTAAGGTCTCTCTCAATCACCCATGGATGGTGGCCTCAAGTCTAAAGGTACACCTATCTTCAGAATGGGCTAGCTGCCCCATCCGTAGTATCGAAAACTGGGTGAGTGGAGGTTAGGAAGTAGCAGCAACAGTAACACCAGATCTAGGAGGCATGAGATCTGTAGAAGAACTAGGAGTCATAGAAGGGACATCACTAGATAGGGGCCGAAGTAGGTAAAACTGCCTATGCAAGTAATGTGAAAGTATTAACAAGCCGGGAGGAATCCATCAGGGTTGCCTTCTTCTCTACGCATCATCCTTCAAGTACCCCACCTCAATGCGTCAGATATCAGTGAAGATGTGCGAATCACTTTGACATCCTTCTTTTCATCTGGAGGCACCTAAGCCCTTCTGCACAACTCCATGATCAACACTGCAAAAGGAAGAGAGATTTGGTGTTGCTTGGCCTTCATGGCCATCTCCTAGCCTGGAATCATACCCAAGTTGAGACTGCGCCCATCAATAATGCAACCAAGATAGGTTGCCTTCGTGTGACGGATAATAGACTCATTCTGGGATAACATGATATTGTTGCTGATAAAGCTAAACCAGTACCTCGCTATTACATTGAGGTCTTTCTTTTCTATTCGGCTCCTGCCTGCAACCACAGAGTAGTAACATTAATTATCAAAGGGGCCAACCACTTCTTCAACATCTCCAATGACTTTGTTTTTATCATGTACTAATAGTTATCCTTAATACTTTTTATACACTCCAGAACTGCATTGATAACATCACTATCACACTTCACCTTTTTATAACTGACAATCACATAATCTACTGCTTTGAATTTAGTAGCATGCTTCTTCCCTTGTAGCACTAACGCTCCATAAGTAGTGTAAAACTCCTGGACCCAATTTAGAACGTAACGACCACGAGGTCTAGTGAATATATGGAACTTATGGGACCTCAATAAGCTCATAATCTCCTTGTCTATTACTCAATCAGTAGATTGCCTCTTCACCTCGATGATGGTCCTCAATCCCTCAGTCTTTAGTCTATTCATAGACAGGAAAGGAGGACCATGTACCAGTGGTGGTGGGACCACAACTTGATCTAGAACATGAGTATGAGTAGTGTCTTGGGGTGACCTAATCCTAAACGAATCATTTAACCTCTTAGAACGTAGCTCAGCTCTTTGGGCTGACAATAGCTCATGCATCCTGAAGGTCGTGATGCTTACCCTCACTCTTAGAGGTGGTTAGGTGAGTGATATAAATCCCCTTACTATCGGAGTTTGCCTCTGGTAATGCAGGTGCAGGTTCCTTGCCTTTCCCACCAGTGGTAGAAAGTTTTGTCGCCCTGGCCTGGGATGCAACTGCATCCTCATTGATAATAATTCCCTTTAACCTCTTGTGGGGCGATATGTCTCCACCTTCTACTTTTGGTCTAGCCATATCTGCAACACAAATTGGAAACTGTTAGAAATAGTTCAAGAAAAATCCAGAAAATATATTACGGACAAACTCGCCTAACCAATCGCCAAGTCGTTGAATCAATTTAGAGAGCTACATTGGGCTTACCTAAAGGATTTAATCATTTTTTTTAGAAAATGTCCTGTCGGCGATGAGAAAGGTTATTCGGTGAGCACAAACTATCCCACCAAATATCACAGTGTATTTAGGGTTGGGGATGTAGAAAAGGCGATCAAAAAACACATTCAGAGTGCAC